CGCTGACGGGAGAACCTGAGGCACAGAGGTGTGTTGTCCGGCAAGGTTTAGGGACCACGGCAAGGTCACACAGTAAAGTTCCAAAGCCTGGTTGTATTCTGCTCCCAAAGTCACAATCTCCCAACGACTGCTGCTGTCAATCAAGAGGGCCAAGGACCACCAAAGAAGCTCCCAGCCACCCCTTGAGAAGGGACCCCGAGAGCTGGGCGTGGGACCCCCCACCACCCCGGGTCTGCCACTCAAATTACCAGTGAAGCCTGAGTGTGATTCAGGGACAGACAGGGCACCCAACACTGAAAACACCCTAAAGTGACCTCCCAAATCACCACTGAGATGACCCCCGACAACTTTAGGTTGTATGGTGGGTCTGGGCTGGGAGCAGCTGGGAGGTGGCCGCCCCTTGAGAGAGGTTTGCTAAATACACAGAAAGAGACCTAGTGGGTGAAGCTTCGTCTACACTTTCCCTAAAAGCCCAGAGACAACAGATGCTGCTTATCAAGCCTCACCTAAGGACTGCCACTGGGAACTGATTTTTTACAGTGTTTCTGACCAAAAGAAGTTGCTTTTTTTTTTTTTTTTCTCCCAGACAACTGTTTTCCTTCATTTAGATCAAGGGGCAGACTATAGCTACTGCCAGTTCTTATAAATAAAGTTTTGCTGGCACACAGCCACAGCCATTCACTTACGTATCCTCGATGGCTGCTATCCAGACACAGCAGAAATGGCAAGTCTGGACAGAACTGTAGGATCCCCACAGCCGAAAATATTTACTAGCCAGCCCTGGACAGAAATAGCTCGCCAGTCCTTGATTTAGACACAAACAGCACGCACTCGGCATACCACGGCAGACGAGCTCAGCTAAATTGAATGTTCACTTTTAGTAATACATTCGCCCTCAATGATATGTGCCTTTATGTTCCAATCTCCTCATGCCATTCAAACATTTTATGGAAAAAAATAGCTAATATCCCCTGAGTGCTTGCTCTAAGTCAGGCGCTGAACTGATCCCTTCAATTTGCTCTTATTTATTCTCACGCTAAACCCACAGGGAAGGGAATATTATTATCCCCGATTTACTGAGGAGAAATGAATGGGGAAAGTGAGTGAATGAGCCATCGACTGTTCGCACGGTGGGATACTCACTGTTTCATCCTCTACTCTGAGAGTAAGTAATAAAGGGGCTGACTAAAAACTCGGGGTGCTCAATGGCTATAAGGCTGCCAGGCCCGAGGCCGGTGACCAGACACAGAGCCAGGATCACACAGCACGCGGGCTTGGGCTTCTTTTTGTTTCCAGTCTGGCTCAGCAGGAGCTGCACAGTCACTTCACTGCGACTCTTCTGGGTCTGGGGAAGGTGGCGGAGCTGAGGTGGCAAGGCCAACGTGGAGCAGGACTGGACACAGGCTGGACGCTGTCTCTGGTGAAATGGCCGGAGCAGCACAGCCGAGAGAGAGGACCCGCGCTCCAAATTCAGCCCCCGCTGGAGGGCCGTGCGCACCTGCTGTCGCCTAAGTGTTTCTGCAGAATATCTACATCCTAAGCAGTATCAGCTGAGGAACAGAGGCCCTGGGTGTCCACGGTGGTGTTCTTCAAGTTAAATAAAATCAGTTATTTTTTTCTTAAGTCTGTTCCTCTAAAACCTGACAATCTTGGCGGATCATGAACATTCAAACAGCTGGCCCAGCAGGAAGCCGAAGGTGAAGGGGCTGGAGTCTCCAGCTTCTCCTTCTCCAGAGAGAGGCTGGGTTGTTCTGGTTCCTGTTCTCGGTGTCTCAGGCCTCAGTGCAAGGCCACATCCTCCTCCTGCACGGGAGGGTGAGCAGGCAACCCCACAGCTGGCCTGAGGAGCCCTGGTGTCCGCTCTGCCTAGACACTGACCACAGCCTCCGCTCTCAGACACCCCGTGTGGGCCCCGGGGGCACGGCGCTAAGCCCTCTCGGGGATGCTGGTTGGGTGTCTGTGCAGCTGAAGGCACTGCTGCACCCCCGGGCTCCGGACTAGAGACACTGCCAGGCATCACTACAGGGCCCACTGACATGGGCAGGCAGGGCCTGCTGCCGTGGCAGCCTGGGTGACAGGACTCCTCCAAGCAACGGAAGTCAGACTGGTGGGCAGTGAGGACGCCACCAAGCCTCTGCAGCAGCAAACCACCTGTGCAACGCCAACGGCCGCTGGAGGCGCCGACCTGCGCCCAAGAAACGGCAGCAGCAGCACCAGAGGAACCAGCACCAGCGCCTAGAACCAGCACCAACACCAATGTCAGGACCAGCAGCACTGGCAGCCCGGCTCGTCAGCTGCCCGAGGGGCCAGTCTGTCAGCAGAGCCCCGACAACACCTGTCGTCCAAGCGAGTACACTTGCGTCCACCTCAGCAGAGTCCCTACCGATGGGGTTCCGAGGCCCAGAGAAGGGAGGACCTGCCGAAGGCCACACAGGCCCCGACAGCCAAAAAGGAGTGACTGCCCCTCTCAGCCCCAGGCAGCAGGGCCCAGGGACCCGGGGGTCGGAGAGAACCATGTTCAGATCCCGCCTGAGTTCCTGATAAACCTCTCTCACCTCTCCGTGCTCCAGTTACCACAACTATGGATAGGGAAGGGGCAGTCCTAACAGCACCGTCCCCACGGGGCTGTCCCAGGGGTGCACAGGCTGATGCCTCCACCCGCCCCACACAAAGTGTGGCTTAACCCACGCCAGTTATCTCCCATCTCCGTTCACCGGGTGCGAGCTCGCTGAGAGCAGGGCCCAGAGCTGTCACAGCAGCAGGCAAGGAGAGCTTATTTCCCCAAGACCTTTCTGGAGCCCTCCAGAGATGCACAGGAGCGGGAGATAACAGACGGGACACAATGAGGTTGTTCTAGGGAGTAACGGATAAAGGCAGAAGAACAAGCGTGTGGCCGTGTGATAGTGAGGTGCAACTGCCGCTGTGGGGGAGCAGGAAGACAAGAAGGGGTGCAGAGAACCTGGGAAAGGGCAACTGTCCTGGGTCTCGCCCCCACTCACTGTTCCGCTGAGCACCCCCCTCCCCCCGCCTCAACGCAAGCCCAGTCACGCCGCCCGCTCTGTTCACTGAGATGCAAGGAGTAAATGAGCACGATGCCTACTGTGTGTTTCGGCTCTGAGCAAGACGCTACGTTGCCTGTCCTCAGAGTGATGCCTGTCAGGGGTGGCAGAAAGACAGGAAAACACCGACTTGAACAAGCAAATACCGAACTGTAACCACTGAGGAGCAAGCACTGAGCAGAAACGGCGGTGACAGGGGACACTTCCCGGAAGCCTCTCTGAGAAGAGGCTCGAGACGAGCGGAACTGGACACCTGACACGACGAAAGCTCAGGCCTCACCCAAGAGCCGGGTGGCCCCAGGTGGCCTCAGCACTTGGGCTGTCCGTGGGGGCAGGCCCACTCTCAGGCCACACCCTCCACAGCCTCACAGCCAGGGCCAGTCCTGCTGTCCACGGCAGACTCACGGGGCCTTTGTCACCAGGTCCACGTGGGGCTGTCCCTCGCTCCAGCTGACCCAGGCACTGTCCCCAGCCTGCTGCTGACCTGCCAGCCGGCCTTTCCACGGGCTCGGGGACTGTGACCCTTGACCATCTGTCCACGCCAACCAGCAGTGCCCTGTTCAAAGTCTGCCACTGCCCGCCGGGCTCTGCTCAGGACGAGCGCAGCCCAAACAACCCCTCTCCTTCCAGAAGTCCTCCCCACCCTACAGTGACCCTACCGGGGTGGGGGCCAGGCCCCGTGCACAGGAGCCTCCACGCCAAACCTGTGCAGGATGGAGTGGCTTCACCCCCATTGAGAAGAGGGCAAGGATCCGGCAGCACAGACACAGGGGTCCTAGGGGAGAATCACCCAGGCCACAGGCCATGAAGGTGCCTGCTTACACCCCATTCTGGGTTTCTCGACCCAAACACAGAGCTGAGAAACCGGGACCCCACACCCCATGACGGGGATGACAAGCACCAACTGAGGAAGGATTACTTCTGAGGGGAGGAAGGGGGATGGACCGGAGAGACACAATGAAGGTGCAAGGGTGTGCAGTTACATTCCTTAGCCACATCTGAGGCCAGCATGGCGCAGGGGCTGGAATTGGCACAACGAGGTGGTGGCACACAGCTGGCTGTGTGAGTACCCTGTATCTCCACGTGCTTCAGAGTTCATTCAAAAACACAAAGTAGCAGGCCCGCCCTGGTGGGTTAAAGCACAGCACTAAGAAGCTAAAGCCACTGCAGCACGAGTTCGAGCCCCACCCTGGAGGTGACCACGTGGCACGGCAGACCTCTCCTGACCCACCCGCTGCTCCCCTCAGCAGTGGAGTTCGTCGATCTGCCTGTTCTGCTCCCCACTCTGTCTCTGGTGAATCCGCTCACTGCCCCTGCACCTCTGGCCTGTACCCCAGTTCTGTGTGCGCATCAATAAATCGAAAACACACAAAGTGGCACCGTTATAAATGCCTGCACATCTCCTTAATGGCTACTTAGTATAGCTGGGTTCTCCTCTCTGCGCAGCATTCAACCTTTAGTGAAAAAACAAGAATTTCTGTAAGACCTAGTCAAAGACACTGCTCAGAGTTAAACACTCAACAAAGGTTTGCTGGATTAAAAAGGAAGCCACCCCGGCTCCTGTCGCTGTTTACTCTCTGTGTTCACGCCACCACGAGGCTGAGGGAGGCGGCGGCCTGCACGCGCTCGGCCTTCCAGACACGGGGCTGTGTCTTGGGTGCTAACAGTCCCCCAGTCAGAGACACAGCAACCAGGCAAATCACGTCCCACGACACATCAGCCGGAGGCAGTGGCAGCTCCCAGAAGCCCCCTTTCAAGTTCCATGTGCCCTGCCAGCCCCAGACCGGGCCCAGACACACCTCCCGCTCCTGCCAGGGCAGCTGCGCCCCATGTGTACACCAGGCCAGGTGTCGCTCGCCAGAACAAGCAGGGGGCGTGTGCTCGTGTGTGAGCCAGGTCCTACATTTCAGGGGAGCACTCCCGAGGGGTGATGGGACCCACCAGACACTTCTGTTCAGACGAGGCTCAGCTCCGGTCCTCCATCTTCCACGGTCCTTCACAGACCCCTCCAGGCTGCAGGGGTGCATTGGGCCAGGCTGTCTCTGAGAGCCCCACAATTGTGCAGGGTGCGTTAGTCCAGAGAATGTGTCCACCAGCTTCTTCCCCGGTGGGCCAGTATCACTGTAAATCCAGTGCCTCTGAAAGTCCTTCGAGGAAGTTCCAGGCAGCTGACAGTCACAGCCACCGGGAGGGGTATCTTTGTAATTCCTTTCTGGTCAAAAGATCAGGCCTAGGAAGAAGAAGAAGAAAAGTGGATCTTGTTACAATCACAGACTGTGAGCAATAGCCAGTTTTCCTTCCTTCTAGTTGACCCTCATGTACTCAGGAATTCACTGGAAGAAGTCCCTGCGGCTCTGCGGAGGCCAGAGTGCCGGGGTCATGGGGAGCATGGCCTCCCTCTCGCGCCAAGACCTCAGATGGCACAACTTTCTACTTCCTAGGGCTCCCCAGAACTACCCTGGGGCTAGGGAGCCCATCTGAAGCTGAGGAAAGAAAGTCGTAAAAGCTTAGGGGCTATAAAAGTAGATGACTGGATTA